TACGTCCTGCCCCCCCCCCCCTTCTGGCCACGTTCCTCGTCCTGGGGCTGCTCCAAATCTCTGCCATGTCCCCCTCCCACCAGGTCTCAAAGCGTCCCCGGAGGAGGGAGCCCAGCGGGGATGGGAGCAGTCTGGCCATGAGCAACCCAGAGCAAAACACGCTCTTCGAGGCCATCAGGTCGGCCAAGATCGCCGTCGAGGTAACCCCACTCACGCAGAACCGTGGGGGGCCCCAGCCGGCTCGTGCAGGGGATGAAGGGACACAGGGGGCGTCATGCGTCTCAAGCAGGGGACGCGGGTGTCCCCAGCTGGCCGCTGTTCGATGCCAGCTGTCCTGTGCCCGCAGACAGTGGTGGATGACTGGCTGGAGACCTACAAGCAGGACCGGGAGACGGGGTTCCTGGAGCTCGTCAACTTCATCATCCGCTCCTGCGGCTGCAGAGGTGGGGGGGTCCCCGCCGGGTGCTCTGTCCCCTCTGCACTGCTGGTGGGGCCCCCCCACTCGAGGCCGGGGACCCCTGTTTTACTCCTGGCTGCCCCGGCAGGCGTGGTGACCCCGGAGATGTTCAGGCACTTGCAGAACTCAGAGATCATCCAGCAGCTGACGGAGAAGTTCGACGAGGTGCCAGGCAGGCAGGGGGGGAGGTGGCAGCAGGGCTGGCGGGGGGCCCAGCTCACCCCATCTCCTGCAGGATTCGGCCGAGTACCCGCTCTCGCTGGGCACCCAGCCCTGGCGCCGTTTCCGGGCTGGCTTCTGTGAGCTGGTGGCAGCGGTGGTGCGGCGGTGCCAGTACAGCGTTGTTTATGACGAGTTCCTGATGGACGCCCTCATCTCCCTGCTCACTGGCCTCTCTGACTCCCAGGTGCGGGCTTTCCGCCACACCAGCACTCTGGCAGGTAGGCAGCTCCCTGGGGGGACTCCCCGTGGGCTCCCCATGGGGGTCCCCGCTGCCACCGCACCATCCTCCCAGCCATGAAGCTGATGACAGCGCTGGTGAACGTGGCGCTGGGCGTGAGCCTGCACCAGGAGAACAACCAGCGGCAGTACGAGGCCGAGCGGAGCAAGGGGCCCAGCCGCCGGGCCACCGACAAGCTGGAGGCACTGCTGGAGAAGCGCCGGGAGGTGAGCGGCGGCAGCGGGGGGCTGGGTGGCAATGGTGGGGGGCTGGGCCCCGCCTGAGCCCCATTGTGTCCCCCCAGCTCCAGGAGCAGCAGGAGGAGATCGAGAACATGATGAACGCCATCTTCAAGGGCGTCTTCGTGCACCGCTACAGGTCGGGGCTGGCCCAACAGCTTGGGAGCAGAAGGGGGTCTCGTGACTGGGGAGAAGGGACATGGAGCGTGGCATGGCTGGGCTGGGAGGGGACGGGGATGTGGCGCTGCTGGGGACCATGGTGTGAGCCCGGGTGTTGCCACACGCCGCAGAGACGTGGTGCCCGAGATCCGGGCCATCTGCATGGAGGAGCTGGGGATGTGGATGAGGAGCTATGCGGCCTCCTTCCTCACTGATGGCTACCTCAAGTACATCGGCTGGACCCTACATGACAAGGTGGGCCAGGGATGGGGGGCCAGGGATGGGGGGCCTGCGCCTGCAGTGTGTGAAGGCGCTGCAGGGGCTGTACTGCTGCCGGGACACGGCCGCCCACATGGAGCTCTTCACCAGCCGCTTCAAGGTGAGCAGGGACCTGCGGGGGTCCCCCAGGTCCCTGCGGGCGTCCCCCAGGTCCCTGCAGGGTGTCAGCAACTGCATCCCCCTCGCCAGACCCGCATGGTGTCCATGGTGCTTGACAAGGAGCCCGACGTGGCCGTGGAGGTGGTGAAGCTGCTGACGCTGATGCTGGAGTGAGTGCGGGGCCAGGGCTGGGGGGGGGGACGTGGGGACACAGGGTCCTCCAGTGAGAGTGGGGACAGATGATGGGCCTGGAGGGCACCCAGGGGATGGGGTCCTGCTGTGAATGCAGGGCCCTGGGAACAGCCCCGCAGCGAGAACAGGGATGGGGGAGAGGGGCTGGGGAACGGGAGGAGCAGGGACCCCCACCGTTCCTTGTGCACAGGAACATGGAGGAGGCGCTGACAGAGGAGGACTGCCAGAGCGTCTACCCTGTGGTCTACGTCTCCAGCCGGGTGCTGGCCTCCGCCGCCGGGCTTTTCCTCTACCGCAGGTGAGCGAGGGCTGGTGCCTGGCATGGCCCATCCCATGCCAGGGGCTGGTCCCCAGCCCACCCCTGCCTGGCACTGGAGCTGCTGCCGCCGTCATCCAGCCACAGCCCCCGCAAAAAAGCCAAGCGTTTTCTGCCTGCCAAACCCTGACTCAGGCTCAGCTTCCTCCCTGCTCCACCATGGGGAGCATCTGGCAGGCGACCGGCAGAGGCCGGCAGACAGGCTACCTTCGTCACAAGCTCATTAGCACTGCCCTTAACCGGAACAGGGACTGGGACAGCAGCATCCAGCCCTGGGGTCGCTGCGGGACAAGCGCGAGCCCAGCACGCGCTGGGTCAGCTGCCCGGAGTCCCAGCCGCGCATCCTGCTCACACGCTTGCGCTCTTGCGCCAGCTTTGGCGCGCTCGGCAGAGAGGGGGCCGGCGGCGCCGTGTTTATCTCAGCACAGGCCTTGGCGGCTCTTGGCAGTGGCAGTGTTTGGGCTTGTCACGGCCCTGTTCCCCCGCACATCTGGGGCGGCAGCAGCTGTGTGTGGCGTCAGCCTGGGTCCTCCCTGTCGCCCGGGGCTCGGGGTTCAGGTGCCACGCCAGGGTGCGGGCCAGGGGGACCCCCGTGTCTGTGTCCCCTGGGCCTCTCGCCCCAGAGCAGGAGGTACATGGATTCCCCCATCTCTGTCCCCTGGGTTTCTGGTCCCTGCATGTCCCCCAGCTCTGTCCCCAGAGTGGGGGGTATGTGGGACCCCTGTGTCCCTGTCCCTTGGGGCGCTGTCCCCTGTACATCCTTCTCAGGTACTTGGGATCCCCATGCCTGTGTCCCCCTGGAGCTCTGTCCCCCTCACACCCAGCAGGGGCACATGGGACCTCCGCCTGACCCTGTGCACATGTCCCCAGGCTGCTGGACCCCCAGCGAGAGGTGGGCAGGGAGCCTTCTCATGATGGGGACAACAGGACCTTCTTCCGGCTGCTTCTGGCCTTCTTCATTGAGAGCGAGGTGAGAGCGGCCGCAGGGGGCCTGGGAGAGTGGGGGGGCCCTGCACACCGTGACGGTCCCCTGTCCCCCATCCCCAGCTCCACGAGCACGCAGCCTACTTGGTGGACAGCCTGTGGGATTGTGCTGGGCCCCGGCTGAGGGACTGGGAGACCATCAGCGCTTTGCTGCTGGAGGAGTCGCCCACCGAGGGTACAGCACTACTGGGAGACACTGGAACATGCTGGGACATCACAGAGGAGTCACTGGGAAACACTGGGATATACTGGGATGTCACTGAGAGACACTGGGATATGCTGGGACGTTACTGGGACCAAGTAGGCTACATTGGAACATCCTGGGACACCGTTGAGGTATACAGGCCCATTGCTGGGACGCACTGGGAGATGCTGGGATGACTAGGGTGTACTGAGAGATCACAGGGAGGCACCAGGATGCTGTTGCAATGCACTGGGATATACTGGGACATCACTGGAAGACACTGGGGTTGCTGTGGGACATCCCTAGGAGATGTTGGGACACTGCTGGGAGATGCTGGGATGTGATGGGGTGGCACTGGGGCATCACTGGAACACACAGGGACACGCTGGGATGTCACTGGGTTGTGCTGCAACATTGTGGGGGCACTGGTGGGTGGCTGGGGGACATACTGGGATTTGTTGGTATGCCCTGAGACCCCCTGGCACAGCAGAGGGGGTGCCAGGCCGCCGCCCAGCCCTCCCATTCCTCCCCCCAGGCCTGGCAGACCGGCAGGGGGAGGCACTGGTGGAGATCCTGGTGGCCAGTGTGGTCCAGGCGGCCGAGGGGCAGCCCCCGGTGGGCCGCGGCCCAGCCAAGAAGGTAACGGGGCTGGGGAGGGGGCTGGGGAGGGGGCGGGGGGCCCCCCCGGGGGGGGGGGGGGGACCCCCTGCCGCTGCCAGGGGCCTGGGGGGTCGGCACTGACACCCCCCGCCCCCCCCCAGTTCTCAGCTGATGCTGAGAAGGTGGCTCCGCTCCTGGAGGTGCTGCGCTGCTTCGACCTCAGCATTTACTGCACCGGGCGGCTGGAGAAGGTGCTGCCCCCTTGCCCCTCAGGCAGGATCCGGCCCCCCGGGGCTGGGGCAGAGCTGCTCTGACCCTGGGAAATGGGGCTGTGGGGATGGGATGCCGATGAGTCCCCTGGGTGTCCCCTTCGGGATGCTCTGCGTCCCTCTCCCCATTGGGAGGCTGTGTGCCCTGTGCCCCCCAGTAAGGGGCTGTCCCTCTTCCCCTGGGGGGCCCACAGCTGTCCTCATCCTCTCCGGGGAGCCGTACATCCCTGCGGGAGGCTGCAAGTCCCTTGTCCCCATGGGAGGCCCCGTGTCCCTCAATCCCTCCTGCAGCCCCCTCTCCCTGCAGCACTTGGAGCTGGTGCTGGGGCAGCTGCAGGAGGTGGTGGAGAAGCATGTGGGGCAGGCAGTGCTGGAGGCTGCGTCCCACGCACTCCATGCACTCTGCAACCCTGAGCTCGCCCTGCACGGCCGTGGGGACCTGGTGCGCAGCCGCCTTGCTGACCAGCTGGCCGACAAGTTCCACCAGGAGGTCACCGAGCTGCTCCAGGTAGAGGGGATGAGAGAGGGACCCTGAGGCTGGAATGGGGCTGGGGACTGCTGGAAACAGGACAGGGACCTGAAGATCAGGACATGGACCTGGAGCCTGCAACGGAGCTCGGGCCACCCCAGGGTAGGGACTCAGACTCCAGGACAGGGCTGGGGACAGGAGAGGGACCAGGACCTGTAGGGACAGCGATGGCCCGGGCAGGGATGGTGCATTGTTGGGGAAGAGCTGGTCTGAGGGGTGCTGGGTGGGGGAACCAGCAAGGGACCGCAGGGTGTCCCCAGCCTGGCATGGGTCCTGGACCCCGCACGGAGTGTCCCCAACCCCGGGCCCTGCCCAGGCCTCGTCCCTGGACGAGGAGGAGGTGTACAGCATGGCGGCCACACTGAAGAGGATCTCTGTCCTGTTCAAGTGAGTGTGGAGCCGTGGGGCCACACCACCCCTCTGCCCACGTCCCCAGGGGTCCCCCAGTACCCTTGTCCCGCTCCACCTGCCTCCCTTGTTCCCTGTCCCATGGCGTCCTGTCCCTCTGCCCGGTGTGTCCCTCACACTGCGTCTCCTGCCCCGTGTGCTATTCTCCATCTGCCTGTGCAGTGGTGTCCCATGTCCCGGTGTCCTGTCCCTTGCCCTGTGTGTCCCCTGCCCCATGTGCTCCCTGTCTGTCTGTCCCCCAGCATTCTGTCCCCTGCCCCACGTCTCCCCTCACCCTGCTGATGCCACTCTGTCCCTGCAGCGCCCATGACCTGACACCCTGGCAGCTCTTCAAGCCCTGCGCCCAGCTCCTGCAGCGCGCTGTGGACACAGGAGAGGTGCCCCCGCAGGTACCACCACGGTGGCGACACGGCAGGGACGTGGTGGGGCTCCTCAGCGCCATGGCCATCCCTTGCCCGCATCCGCCCCCCCAGGTCCTTGTCCCTGCCATCACCTGCCTCCATTTTCACATCCTCTGGGAGCTCTCTCACCTGCCCAGCACCAGTGTCCCTCAGGTGAGCGGGTGGCACAGGAGTGGCTTCAAGGGCAACTTGGGGCAGCCCCCATGTCCCTAAAGGCCATCGCGTCCCCCTGCCAGGAGCAGCTGCAGAGCCTGAAGACCAGAGTCACCTCCTTCTGCTCGCTGTGCCAAAGCTGCCTGTCTGACGTGGATGCCGGCGTCCGGGAGCAGGTACACAGGGGCTGGGGGGATGCGGTGGGGCAGCGGGGCCGGGCCTGGCGCTGAGCCCGTCCTCGTGTCCTCAGGCCTTTGTGGTGCTCAGTGACCTGCTGCTGGTGTTCGGGCCCCAGCTGCCACGGGATGGGCGGGAGGCACTGGCCCCACTGGTGCTGCTGCCCGACGCAGGGCTGCAGTCCCAGCTGGCTGCCTTCCTCATGGACCATGTCTTCCACCACGCCTGCAGTCACGAGGAGCTCTCGGCCACAGGTGCGTCCCCTCCGCGCATCCCAGGGTTGTCCCCTGGGATGCCCGTCCCCACACCGTCCCCTCCTGTCTCTGCAGAGGACAGCGAGAGCCACATCGAGGAGCTGCACCAACGCCGGGTGCTCCTGGCCGGCTTCTGCAAACTCATCATCTACGATGTGCTGGAGCTCAGTGCCGCCTCCGACGTCTTCAAGCACTACGCCAAGGTGGGGGGCGCGCAGAAGGGCTCTCCTGCTGTCCTCGCAATGGCTTGGAGTCATCGGGCCCTGTCACCTCCTCCCCAGTTTTACAGCGACTACGGGGACATCATCAAAGAGATGCTGAACTGCACCCGGCAGATCGACCGGCAGGAGTGGGCTCGCACCCTGCTGCTTAGCTTGCAGCAGGTACAGCACCGGCTGGGGGGCTCTGGGGGTCCCTGGGGTTGTCCAGGAGGCTCTGAGGGTCTCTGGGGAATCTGGGAGGTCTCCCGGGGAGTCTAGGGGTCTTTGGGGTGCTCTAGGGAGGTCGGGGAGGCTCCAGGAGATGTGGATGGGGTTTGGGGGGATGTCTCTGGAGAGGTCCAGGGGTCCAGGAGGCTTTAGGGGGGAAGTCTGGGAGACTCTAGAGGGGTGGGGGGCATCCAGGAAGCTTGGGGGCTCCAGGGAGGTCTGGGGGTCTCCAAGGGGTCCCACACTGACCTTCTGCCCTTGTGCAGCTGATGACGGAGCTGCTGCTGCAGCAGGGCCCCGAGATCCGGGCGGCTGAGGCTTTCCTGGAGATCCGGGACCTGGCGCGGCGTTTCTCCCTCCTCTTCAGCCTCCATCAGCTCCGCAACCGCCCGGCACTGCTCAGCATGCACAAGTGCGAGGGGCTAGGGGGCTGGGGGGGCCGGGGAGCCAGGCTGGGGCTCAGCCTGCCCCCTCATCCCTCTGCCCCGGCCAGGGAGGGGATCCAGTTTGCCTTCCAGGAGCCTCCGGGCCCTGGGCCGGGGCTGCCACCCCTCAACCTGCCCTTCCTGGAGGTGCTGAGTGAGTTCTCACCCCGGCTGCTGCGCCCCGACAAGGCCCTGCTGTGAGTGGGGGAGCATGGGTTCCTGGGGGGGGGTCCCATTTGGGTCCTCAGTGGCCATGTGGGGTCCCCAGCGGGGTCCTCAAGGTCCACGTAGGATCCTCGGGGTCAATGTTGGGTTCCCCAGGGACGCGTGGGGTCTCCAGGGGCCAAGCGGTGTCCCCCAGCACCCCACAGGTTCCTGGTGCCACGTCACCCACGTGTCTCCCCGTCCCCCCACAGCCTGGCCTACCTGGAGAAGATGTGCCAGGAGCGGCAGTGGCTGGCGCCGCGGGACACGCCATGGCCATCCCTTGTCACCTACCGCAACTCCCTGCAGACGCAGGAGGAGGGGGGCTCAGTGAGCAGCCGCAGCTCAGCCCCCCGCCTGCGCCCCCTGCCCGGTTCCACTGCCAAGAGACCCCGCCTGGACGGTGAGGCAGGGGCTGAGCCCCGGGGAACCCCGTGTCCTGGGGGCTGCACCACCCCCAGCAGGCAGGCTGGGCTGTGCAGGGCTGGGGGGGCTTGTCCCGCTCTGTCCCTCACTGGGGGGGCCCTGGCCGGAGGCTGGGGCCAGTCTGAGGCTCCCCAGTGCAGAGCCAGGGTCACTGCGGGGCGGGGAGCTGAGAGGTGGCAAAGGGGGGCTCGTGTCGGCACCATCACCTGAGCCGGACTGCGCTTGGGAGGGGACGGGATTGGGTCTGGGGACGGGGACAAGGACGGGGCTCAAGAATGGGGACAGGGTGTGGGGACGGGGACAGAGCTTGGGGACAGGGATTGGGTGTGGGGATGGGGCAGGGGTCCCCGTGCTCAGCCACCTCCCACAGCCCCCTTGGAGCACCCCAGCTCCAGCCCATGGCCGAGCAGCCGCCTCCCCAGCCCAGCCCTGACCTCCACCGTGCTGCGAGGTGGCCCCCGGCCCCCCCTGCCCTGGCCACCAGCACAGGACCCCGGCTCCGACCCCAGCCTCCTGCAGAGGTGAGTGGCTGGGGGCGAGCCCCCCCCAAACCGGGGGCCCCCCTGCCCAGGGCCCCCCCCCCTTCCCCCTCCCCTCCTCC